AATCGTCTCCCTTCGTGGCACCCCCACATACGGTTTGGCAAAATGGATGTTTGCTCATCAGAAGTTCCTAGCAGCAGACTGAACGACCACCGTAGCTTCTGCTTGAACGAATAAAACATCTGAAGTTAGAGCCAGACGAATCCATGGTATCCTTTGATGTTGTATCACTCTTCACCTCCATCCCACAGCAACTTGCAATTGATGTTGTGAGACCACTTTTAACTGAACACTACGACGAGAGAGACAAGCCCTTGAGGTCTGAACATCTGCTCAAACTTCTGCGGTACTGCCTTAAAACCTTCTTCATATTTGGAGGACAAATGTATGAACAAATTAAAGGCATACCAATGGGCTTCCCCCTATCAGGCCTGATTGCTGAGGTGGTCCTTCAACGGATTGAACACTTGGTCTTCACCAAGTGTGACCAAAGCGTGACGGCAAATACTGGTCTGTTCTGTCCCCACGGTAGAGGAGGCTGGCAATCCTGCTACCTCTTCCGGTGGTTTCGTCACAGGGCCGTTTTTGTCTGCAAATCCTGACTTCGGTTTGACCGGGGAACCTCAAAAGCTAAAAGATTGACGTTTGAGGCATGGTACTCAGACGCCAATTCTCTCAACAGGCATCTGGACCTCCCTGCAGCATACAAAGTCCTGCTCCATTACGTAAGTAAAGGCTAGGGCACGGTTAAACCGAAGTCAGGATTTGCAGACGAAGAGGGCCCTGTGACGAAACCACCGGAAGAGGGAGCAGGATTGCCAGCATCGTCTACCCTGGGGACAGAACAGACCGCCAATTGCCGTCACGCCAAGCCAAAATCCACACGCAAGGCCAGACAGCGAAGGGCAAAAAAATTGATCAGCCCAAGGCCAACATTTGCAGCTGCAACTGTAAACTGCTGATCGATGACAGTCAGTATTCGCTTTGACAAAGGATAGCAGGCCCAGCTGTCCGGAACGTCTGCAAATCTCCAAATTTATTCCGGTGAGCACAAGATGAATTGTAATTCATATCCCGGAATTCTGACATTTTCGAAGTTGACTTAGTCATGACTCCCGGCCAGGTGGAGTAGTGTGTTGAAGATGCAGTGCAAGTCTAAGGAGTCTAACCTAATTCACACATTTTCAGTGAATATAGTCGAAATCGATGGTGGAACTTCAAGGATTCCCAGAGTCGGCCTCACTCTTAACCTTTTCCGAGTTTATGCACCGGTTGGTAAGATAAAAGCTT